GGCTTTCATTCTATACATACATGCTTTAAATCTGGTGTGATAACCAGTCGTTTACAGTGTCATTAGGAAGATTGGGATTGTGAAGTAGCTATTAAGAAATACAGTCTGCTGTTGTATCTGGAACATGGTAGAAATATATTTTTAATAAGGAGGGGTGCTTTAGAGGTTTCTATCTTAATATAGACCTAAGCTCAGCAAGTTAATTTCAATGACACATCTGACATCTAGCCTTCCAGTACGCAATAGAGTTTTAATGTTTAAAGTTAGGTGCATGTTTAAGTATGTTACTGAATAGGAGCCAGAGTGAAAACATCTTTCATTTAAGATTAAAATCCCTGCTTTAAGTTTTCTTCCTTGAACTCTGGCTCCAATTTGTGAATGCAGTGGGGATGTTCAGGTGGGGGGAGCCCGTCCCTGCCGCCCCCCGCCCGCCCGGGGGGCTGAGGTAAGTTGCCCAGGTAGCCTCGGCCCCTCTCTCCCCCCCCCCTCCCAAGAGGGTTGGTGGCCACCCAGGTGGCCCTGATGAGCCGAGGGGGGGGTCAGACGGCCGCCGTCCCAGCTGGGGTCTCCGCCGGGGAGGGGGGGTCATTAACGGGGCCGGGTGGGGCTGAGGAGCCGCCGCTGGGGCAGCATGGACGGGGCGGGCGCGGAGGAGGAGAAGGAGAAGAAGGAGGAGGAAGAGGAGCAGGAGCAGCAACGGGCCACCACAGGGCTGGGTAAGAGCTGGGGGGAGCCTGATGAGCAGCCCCAGTGGAAGGTGACCGCCTTGTGGCCTCCTCCGGGCCGTTATGGGTGCGGTGGACCCGCCATTTACCCCCTGCCTCCCCCTCCTCTCCTTGGGCTGGTGGCCCCACATTTACCCTGAGGGGAAGCTGCTCTTTTGCCCGGAGTGCTTTTGGGGGGGGTGAGGTGACAGGCTTCATGTCACCGGGCTTGTGAATGCCCCTGGCAAGCTGGGGGGAGTGTTGTGAGCAGGGGGTCTTCCCCTGGGGTCACCCTGGGGGGGTCCTGCAGCCTCTGGGTTTCGAGACCCCCGGTGCTTGGTGCTTTCATCCTCCGTCTGCGTTTCCCCCTCTGAGCTCGGGTGGGTGGACCTGTGGAGCTGATGTTCAGGTGTCCCCATGAGTGTGTTCAGGTTGGCTTTGAACCAAACGCTCCAAAGTGGCCTTAGAAATCTTGCCCTCCCCTGTGCAAGCACTTACCTTGTTCAAAGAAACATGGAAGGAGGTGGTTGTGAGAAGAGTGAGGCACTGGAACAGGTTGCCCAGAGAAGCTGTGGCTGCCCCATCCCTGGAGGGGTTCAAGGCCAGGCTGGATGGGGCTTGGAGCAACCTGGTCTGGTGGGAGGTGTCCCTGCCCAGGGCAGGGGGGTTAGAACTGGATGATCTTCAAGGTCCCTTCCAATCCAAACCATTCTATGATAAGAGGACTTTGCTTCCTGCTGGAGCACCTTCTGTAGCTCAGGTGTTTGAGACACTAGATGTATGATGTTCACAGTCAAAGTTCCTTCTGCTTCAGGTTATGTTTATTTAGAAATGGGACAAAGTGACGTTCAGTCTGGCCTCTTGTCACATGAATCGTGGAAGAAAGGAGCGGTGTGATGAGTCCCTGTTTGTTACCATGAAGGCCCCTCGTTCTCTCCAAGCTTGATTTTCATTCCAGGTCTTTTCTTTGGCAATCCCAAGTTGTTGTCAGGCCTTTGCTATATGTTTTAGAAATAGAGACAGCAATTTACTTTCCCTTGGAGGAATATTCCTGTAGGTGGTGGTGAGGTGACGGGCTTCATGTCACCGGGCTTGTGAATGCCCCTGGCGAGCTGGGGGGAGCGTTGTGGGCAGGGGGTCTTTCCCTGGGGTCACCCTGGGGGTTCCTGCAGCCTCTGGGTTTTGAGACCCCTGGTGCTTGGTGCTTTCACCCTCCGTCTGCGTTTCCCCCTCTGAGCTCGGGTGGGTGGACCTGTGAAGCTGATGTTGAGGTATCCCCTTGAGTGTGTTCAGGTTGGCTTTGAACCAAATGCTCCAAAGTAGCCTTAAAAATCTTGCCCTCGACTGTGCAAGTGCTTACCTTGTTCAAAGAAACACAGAAGGAGGTGGTTGTGAGAAGAGTGAGGCACTGGAACAGGTTGCCCAGAGAAGCCGTGGCTGCCCCATCCCTGGAGGGGTTCAAGGCCAGGCTGGATGGGGCTTGGAGCAACCTGGTCTGGGTGGGAGGTGTCCCTGCCCAGGGCAGGGGGTTGGAACTGGATGATCTTCAAGGTCCCTTCCAATCCAAACCATTCTATGATAAGAGGACTTTGCTTCCTGCTGGAGCACCTTCTGCAGCTCAGGTGTTTGAGACACTAGATGTATGATGTTCACAGTCAAAGTTCCTTCTGCTTCAGGTTATGTTTATTTAGAAATGGGACAAAGTGACGTTCAGTCTGGCCTCTTGTCACATGAATCGTGGAAGAAAGGAGCGGTGTGATGAGTCCCTGTTTGTTACCATGAAGGCCCCTCGTTCTCTCCAAGCTTGATTTTCATTCCAGGTCTTTTCTTTGGCAATCCCAAGTTGTTGTCAGGCCTTTGCTATATGTTTTAGAAATAGAGACAGCAATTTACTTTCCCTTGGAGGAATATTCCTGTAGATGACCTCAAACTCCCAGGTGAATGTCTCTTTCTTTGCTGTGGATACAAGGTACATACACAAGACTTTGAAATGTATTTTGTGATGTAAGCACGTACTGGTGTTTGCATAAAAAAATAATTTAAAAACCTTCTCAAATCAAAGCACTAAGCTGAAAATGCTATTCCTGATTTGAGGCAGAGGGTGGGTGACAGAATGGATGACGCGTGAAAATGCTTGCTTTTTCACATAATAAGCAAGATGAGCTCAGAGGCAACGAGGAGGAGGGTGGAAAAAGGAATTACGTAGAAGAGAACCAAATTCTGCCTCGCTCAGTTCTTGACCCTCCCCATCAGGACACTTCATCTCATTCAACAGCGGAGGAATATTCTTGTAGGTGACCTCAAACTCCCAGGTGGATGTCTCTTTCTTTGCTGTGGATACAAGGTACATACACAAGACTTTGAAATGTATTTTGTGATGTAAGCACGTACTGGTGTTTGCATAAAAAAATAATTTAAAAACCTTCTCAAATCAAAGCACTAAGCTGAAAATGCTATTCCTGATTTGAGGCAGAGGGTGGGTGACAGAACGGATGACGCGTGAAAATGCTTGCTTTTTCACATAATAAGCAAGATGAGCTCAGAGGCAACGTGGAGGAGGGTGGAAAAAGGAATTACGTAGAACAGAACCAAATTCTGCCTCGCTCAGTTCTTGACCCTCCCCATCAGGACACTTCATCTCATTCAACAGCAGTGGACACAGTTGCTGCTTAACAAGATCAGATAGATCATTATAGTCGCATAGTTTCCTGCTTCTGCCTCATTCCCCTGCAACTAATTTGGTTGTCTGAATCCTGTAAAAAGCAAATTAGAAGGTCTTGGAAGCAGCCTGGCATCCCCTCATGCTTCCATGAAGATCCTCCCATCTGACTGGTGGTGTGGGGTTCCTTCTTGATTAACGATCGTTTAAGAAGGAAACATTAAAGCAAGTCTGTTAGTTTGGCATTGCGCTACTATATATTAAAAGTAGGACAGAGTGAAATGAAATTATTTTAGATCTTTTCCCTCAGAAATTAAACAACCGTGTCGCTCTGTAGGCACAAACAACTGAAATGCTGCCAACAGTCTGCTCAAACTTTCCTCTTTCCGGACAGAAGCAGAAAACGTGGTTTTGGTTTTATTATTCTACTTTCTGTTCTTGAGAAATAGTAACTTTTGAGGGTTTTTCGTTGGTTGGTTTTTGGGTTTTGTGTTTTTTTAATTTTGGGGTTTTTGGGGGGGTTGTTTGTTGTTGTTGTTTATTTGTTTGTTTGGTTGGTTTTTTGTTTGTTTTTTTTGTGGGGTTTTTGTTTGGTTTTGCGGTTTTGGGGTGTTTGCTTGGTGGGTGTTTGGTGTTTTGGTTTTTTTTGTTGGTTTTTTTTTTTTTTTTTAAGTAGCAGCAATCACACAGATTCACGCATTCTGAGGCAATCATCAAACTTTCTTTTTTCTTCTTTTGGAAATGTATATGCCAGCTGGGAAAGCATAATGCTTTTTTATTGTTCTGTTGCCTATTTTAAATATATCTCTTGCTGTATTCTTTCTCACCTGTCTTCCGCTATTCAGTCTCTCTTATTTGTAATGCAGTTTGTGCTTTTTACTAAAGTTGGTCAGACTTCTTCCCTATTTTTGTCCTCAGCCAGCTGTTTCATTACCTCGCTTGTAAGACTGTCATTCATAAGTGTTGTGGCTGAAGCTGCAGAAAGCCAATTTAAGGCAGTTATTAGAAGTTTGTCCAATTAATTGGATTTGTGCTTTTGTCAGCTCGAGTGTGATAGAAACAGAAACCTCTATGTATCAAGAAGTGATGCCATTTGTCAGACGATCACTGCTGACACAGTAGACCAGATTTTTGCTTGTATTTTGCTTTTGCTCATTTTACTAAGATGACACTTAGTGTCTTGGTAAGTCATTGATTTTCGTTCTGTTCCTTATGCTGAAGACCTTTGTTATCCCCAGTGCTGTTTGCTCAATACTGTGTTTGTAATACGCAACCTCCCCTTTATTCTCTGTGTCATGAATCAATTCTTCCTATAGTTTAAAGTTGGCTGTTTTTGCAGGCATCTTCACCCTCAAAAACGAGGCTTTTCTCATCTCAGAACGTTTGAATACCTCCACGTCAACCATATCACGTTCTTTGCTGTTGCTTTCCTAGCAGCACTCTGTCCTGGTGACACTCTTGAGTTTGAGCTGCCTTGTTCTTTTCACTGGTGGGTTTCATTGTGCAGCGTTTCCCTTCTCCCATAACCAAAGCTTCTATTCCAGGCCCACCCTTCTTCTCACGCCGTCCAGGCACATCTGCCTTAGACAATGTGCATGCGGTGTGGGGGAGTGTTGTTTCTCCTTTGTTCTTTGTAGAATGCAAGGCCGAGAAGGAGGACATGTCGCTGGACACCGACAAGGAGGACACGTCGCTGGATGCCGAGCACCTCGTGGTAGATGCTGATGGTGCCAGTGGGCAAGGCACAAGGAGCGGTGTGCTATCCCCATCCCAAAGCACAGCTACAAATGAAGAAGTTGAGGATACCTCGGGACAAGAAGATAGGATCAGCCCTGTAAAGAAGGTGGAGGAAGACGGAAGACACTGCGCCCTGCAGCCAACTGGGTCGACTTCCCAAGACTCAGTGGTTCTTGACAGCCAGCTTGACCATGCCTCGGTGCATGGGTGGCTGCCAAACTTCCTCGGTGACGAGAAGGCTGTGACCTCGCTTCCTGTGGTTGAATTTGCACAGGAGCCCAAAGGTCAGTCAGGGTCACATGAACAGCGCGAGAGCTGTTTCTCTGATGGGATTGAAAAGGAGGCAAAAAAGAAAAAAGGAAACGACGAAAGTGGAATGTGTGCTGAGAAAGCATCTAGCGGAATCCCTGGAGACCTCTGCAGGCAGGGTGTGTGTTGCCCAGCTGCTCACCGATCATCCAGATGTGCTTCAGCCAGCTCTGTGGTTCAGCAGTCCTACAAAGTACCTCCAGTTCTGGAATCCAGAAGTAGCCGTGATGGGACCAAGGGGAAAAAAGTGTTACTTGAGAATCCACAGATTCTACCACCAGTCAGGAAGAAGCCACGCACCTTCTATAGCGCAGGTAGATACCAGGGAACACTGGCAGACAGTGACAGTTGTAGTGCCAATGGCATTGACGTTTCCTTCACCACGTTGAAGGTGCAACATGGAGGTGCTGAACTGCCCTAACAGGTATTGCAATGCATTCTTCACTACTACATGTGTGAAGACTGCTTCAAATACATGTTCCTGAGTGCCTTATGTTTGAAGCATCGCTGAGGATGCTTATTGTTTTAGTGTGGAGGAAGATTTTTGTTTAGTTTTGTGGTTTACCTAAAAAAAACCCCAAACAACCCACAACCACAAAACTTTTATGCTGTTCATGCATTTCTTAGGGGAAAATCAAAACAGAATATTTTTTTACTATCTTGTTTCTTTGCTTTTTTTGTTTGTTTGTTTTCTTTTCTTGTCGCATACCCCCCACGCATCGCTTCTAGAGCAGCTAGAAGAGTTGGAGAAGGTGTTCCAGGAAGACCACTACCCCGACAATGAGAAGAGGAGGGAGATCGCGGCCGTGGTTGGTGTGGCACCACAGCGTGTCTTGGTAACGCCCGTGTGGGTAACAGTGCTGAGCGTGGGTTCTCTGCAGAAAATTGACAAAGAGGGACTCGGGGAGGGAGGAGGAGGAAGAGGAGCTTGAGTAGGAAGGAAAGAGGAGCTCATGAGTAATGGGACAGACTGCACCTTCACTGGTGACAAGTGAAAGAAGAGGGCTCACAGGGGTGGACGCTGCAAGACCAACTACCCCACTCAAAATGGCAGTGGAGTCTGTGGTTGTGTACTCCACCTTTTCCTAAGATGAGACACGTAACGGGTAGGTAAAAGAGGCTAAGGGGACTGGAGTTCATCTCTTTTATCTTGAAGATCACGGGCAGCTAAGGAAACTGGTGTTTGGGGGTATCTTTCTGCTGCTATTCTCCTCTCTGTTTGCAAAGAATCTTGCAGATTCTCTGGAAGAAAGGTTTCTGACCTCAGCTGGTGATTTGTGGAGGCAGTCGTTGTTGAGTCGTTGCCTGTGTCCCCATGTGTAGATGGCTTCCTCTCTGAATGCATCCTTTCTTTCCATTTATCAGGTCTGGTTCCAGAATCGCAGGGCAAAGTGGCGGAAATTGGAGAAGTTGAGCGTGAAAGGCGACAAAAAATATCCAACATCATCAGCTCTGTCAGTCCCCTTCAGGTCAGATGGTTATGGGTGAGAGACTTACTCTATTTTCTCATTTATCCACAATAGACACCTAATGAATTATTTTCATTTGCCGTTTCCCATCTACCTTTAAGCTATGGAGAGCTGCCCATTGAGTTGGACCAAGGCAGCCTGTCAGATTTCTGGGAAAATTGTAGTGGACCCTATAAAAAGTGCTTTTGATTAACCTGTAGCACTGTTTTGAAATAAAACTATTAAAGTTGCATTGCCTGAAGTCATGTAGAGGGCAAAGGATAAGACAAAAAGGGTCTGTGGAATCATGCCTTCAACCCCTTCATTTTTAGTTTCTGTGAATGGGTTGTCCAGGCGCTTTGTGTGCACTCGGGAATTGTTTTATCCCAGTCCTCCTCCCACCACCATTTTCCATTTCCATGGATTTTCACTTGGCAATGGAAATGCTGCTTGCTTAGATCAGTCTTAGGAAGTCATGGTCTTCTTTGAAGAAATATGAGGTAGTAACTTTCATAGGTAAGCGGGGAGTTTATGAGAGGATAGGTGGTCTTTCAAGGGGGAGGGAGTGAGTGAGGGAAGAAATTAATCTCCACGGGGAGGTATTTATGGCAATCTAGAGTGAGAGTCTTTCTGTGAAGCACATAGAATGAAATTATAAAAATTAAGTGAAAGATTGGAGACCACCTTTCTGATTTCATTGTGCTGTCCCTGCTGCTTCACCCAGTTCTGTTGACACAGCATCTCTTGCACTGTTTCTCCTTGCACTTGTAAATCATCCAACACTTTCCCTTTCCAGCTGCTAGTGATCTAGGAATTACCTGTTGTAGGATAGTCAGAAGAGTGTATACTTATTCATAATGCTTTGTCTTGTCCTCTGGTCCATCCTCATACCCTTTATGTATACCTCCAGGCCACCTCTTCTGCCCGTGCCTCCATTGCCTGACGTTGTTCATGACCAGTCTGCCATGCTGGGTGTAGACACTACAGCTGGGAACTACTCCAGCCTGCTCAGTGGACTTCCTGCACTACCTGACTCCTCCTCAGGTGAGATCCTTATCGGCAAAAGGATTTTGTGCTGGTGGTGCTGGTGGGTTCCCAAACACTTTTGGGAAAGAGCCCTATGCCAGCGGTCCAAAAAGTGACACCGGGTTTAACAGCTCTCTGCTAATCCAGTACCTACCAGTTATGTACCAGTAGCTACCTCCATGCTAATGGTGGAGCCAAACTTGCAGTCCTCATTCATGTCCTAGCACAAGCCAGCATGGAAATCTGAATATGACTTCAAATATATGATTGGGGCATTCTTTCGTAATAGCTGTTTGACACTGGTCCTGCTTCCTGGGATGGAAGTGTTATCCTGGTTGTCATGCCCTTTGTGGCAGATACACACTTCCCATATTCTGAGTTTGGACCATAAAGTTCTGGCTACCACCTGCAGTCAAGCGAGCTGTGTGAGGAAGGTGCATTGTGTCAACCCCTGGGTTCGTAGCGCCTGTCTCAGGGACTCCCACACCTTTCAATCTCCAAAGGAGGCTCCTTGACTTTTCCAGATGGTGCACATCCCATATTCTGGTTTGGACCATAAAGTTCTGGCTACCACCTGCAGTCAAGCAAGCTGTGTGAGGAAGGTGCATTGTGTCAACCCCTGGGTTCGTAGCGCCTGTCTCAGGGACTCCCACACCTTTCAATCTCCAAAGGAGGCTCCTTGACTTTTCCAGATGGTGCAATTTTTCCATTTTGTGCAGGACCTTGAGGGAGTGAGACTAATCGGGTTCTTAAGCATACAGCTTAATTTAATTGTTGTTGCAGTGTTGTTGGAAGTCAGTGGGGTGTGCTGTTTGACCAGTTTTTCTGCTTGAGCTTCATTTAGACTTTAAAGATTGATGGCAACCAAAGAGAGAGGATTTGTCCAACTGTGTATTCTGTGCATCAGAGCATTCTCTAGAGCCAAGAATGTTCCTTAAAGCATTTCCTATGTATGTTTACGTTTTCAAGTTGGCACAACTTGAAATTATTTCCAAAGTGATGAGGACTTCACCCCTTCCTTAGGGATGGATATCCCAAGCAATAGATGTGCTGACATGTGGTGTTGCTTGTATTTTCCTGCTTCTCAGTGTCATTCATACTTTTGAATTTCATGCCATCATTTCTGCCCCTTCATTGCATTCTAATTTATTATCAATATTTGATAATAATAATTATAATTTATTATTAGATAATTATAACAATGATTATCTAATTGTTGTCAATATTAATGGCAGTTCTGTGCAAGTCATTTTCTAACAACGCCTCAAAGACTCTAATGTATTTTTAATGGTGCTGATACCTTAAAAGTATTTTGGCACTGTAGAAAACAACTAAAACGTCGTATCAATAAGCTTAGAATACTAATAAATAAATATGTATGCTGAAAGTACTTAATTGAGGTACTTTCTTGATACTCTAATTTAGCACTTCTGTCATTTAAATTTGCCTGTCATAGTCTCAAGGCAAGGACTACTTTAGTCAATCCTGTAAGCTTTTTAACAAATATGACTGTAATTCAGTTAGTTCCAGTTTTTCCACTACTTCTTGCAGCAGGGTAAATATAGTCAAAGTGTTTGAATAATTCACCACTTTCCAGAATGATGAAGTGCTGCAGTCTGTTGAGTCCGGTATTTAATTAGATAAAGACCAAGATTTTGCAAAATAATTCATTTAAAGGAAACAAACCGAATAGTCTCATATTTTTACACTTGTATTCTGAACTTTCCTGATTTCTAAAGTACATCTGCAGACAGGCTATATGGTCAAGAGCGACTATGTCTGTTAGAAATAAAAAGCTTCTTTCAGGGATATGATCTTGTCATCTGTCTGTACTGAGCAATTTCTTTCTGGGGAATCTGCACACTGGGATGTGGTTCTCCATGTGGAAAACACAAACAATGTCCCTGATAGGAAATAAACGTCCCCTCTGAATTCTTTGTACAACATGTAAGGAAGAAAAAAGGACAAGTGAATGGCCCTGAGAGTGGACTGAGTATGTGAGATAATAAATATAGCTGGGTTTTCACTCCTTGAATCCTTTGAACTTGCTGCTGGCTGCCACCTATTGCATTTGCTGTGCATGCATCTAGCTTTTATGAAACACGTGCTTCCTTTGCTTGTCTGAAATGCCTGTATCTTCAGTGTTAAGGATCATAGAATCATAGAATCATTCAGGTTGGAAAAGACCCTTGGAATCGTCGAGTCCAACCATCAACCCCCCTCTACAAAGTTCTCCCCTACACCATATCCCCCAACACCACATCTAAAGCTGAGAATGTACTTCATTCTGATACATCTGTGTGTGGGAACAAGCTTCCCCCTGTTCTCTTTAAATCATGCTGGGCAAGAAGTAATGAAATCTATTTGTGTCATCTAAACGGATAAATACTTTCCAGATACAGATCTGTGCTGAGAACGTACTTCATTCTGATACATCTGTGTGTGGGAACAAGCTTCCCCCTGTTCTCTTTAAATCATGCTGGGCAAGAAGTAATGAAATCTATTTGTGTCATCTAAACGGATAAATACTTTCCAGATACAGATCTGTTTGGGGTAAAAAAAAAAGTACCTTTTCTAAATAACTTTTCAGAAAAGAGGCATGCTTTGCTAGTGCACACAAACTGTGAGCTTTGGTGATTGGTTTTTAACCTGGTTTCCTGGGGGAAGGGAGGAATATGGTGTGTGCAACGAGCCACACACTCGCTTTGTTTGTGAAACCCACCCTGCCCTCCAAATTTGTTTAATCAAATTTGACGGAAGGTGGGCATCCTAAAAATTACATTCCTACAGAAAAGGTCATCAATTTACAAAGGCAAAAACAATTGTTCGGTAGAAGTGGCCCTTGTGAAAACAGCTCATGACAAGTTTCAGCAAAATAATTTGTTCCCTGTGCATAATGGTGTGGCTGTACCCAGAGATTGTGCCCTATTGGGGTGGCCGTTCAGGTGCTTTCCGTGGCAGCAGTGTCTTTAACCCCTTTCAGCAGGACAAGCAAATGACTTAAGTGCATGAGAAGGGTAAGATCTATTACCTGGCACCTGTGGAGAGTGTTCAGTGCTGTCTTTCCTATTGTTTTTCCGTGCTCTAGCCAGTAGTTCTGACTGACTGTTGGTTTGTGGGTTCTTTTTTTCTGTCCCACAGTTCAGTACAGTTCTCCAAACAAGCTGACTAAAAATGCCAGCGAGTTGTATTGGAGATGTATTCTACCTTGCTGGCAGTTGTGGCTTCTGATTTAGTACTAGCCACACTATTTGCCATAAGAGCCTTTTTTGCTTCAAAAATTCAATCTTGAGCTTGCTTTGATCTTAGAACTGGGTTTTTTTACTGCTTTTGCTAGATAGCTTGCTTTAAAGTAATGGAGGGGTTTTTTTGACATTTGACGAGTTCTTCTTGTTTTTCTGAGACTTCTTATGGATGTATATTTGTGATTCATTGACTTAACGCATTGACTTATGTTTTCTTTAGGGCTGACCCTTTAGAAAGAAAAGTTACTTTCTATGGCTCTGGTTTGTGGGAGAAGATTTTTCTGCCCCATTAGTGGCTTTGCAGGAAATAATTTTGTTTCACGTGACTGTCTTGCTGAGGGCACATGTCAGGAGCCCAGCCTATGCTGGTAGCTCTTTGCAAATAGCAGGATGATTATTCAGTGGCAGAGATGGGATTGTAATTGAAGTCTTGGGAGCAATTGGGTGACGCTGGGTATAATCTATCAAAGAACAGTAAATAAATGACAAGCTCTAATGACTTCACTTACAGGACTCTGGCTTTTGAACAAATTACTTTGAGGTTGATGTGTAGCTGACATGGCAAGCAAGGGTCGTACCTTTTAAACAAGTGGTAGGTTCTGGCCTACTGAAAAAACAGAAGAGGGTCTTTCTGATACACTTCTCAAAGCAATGCAGTTACGGACTGAAGTTGGTTTACTGATTTTCAGTCCATTAAATAAAGAATGCTGTTGCTCTGAAGTTCAATGAATATTTTCTCTACTTTCAAGATGTCATTTACAAGAGAAATGCTTTCTCATAATTTCAAGAAAAGGATGTATCAATGAAAGGCTTTGTAATGGCCTTTAATGTTCCAGTAAATGCTGCAATTATGCAAGCACGTTTCATTAAAAGAAACTGGATTGGATAGTGTGTGACGTAGAGACTCTTGGCAATAGAGCCTTTGGCTGAACTCTTGATTTGATGCTTGAGAAAACAGCCCTAGCAAGTAGACCATCTGAGGTTCGACTGGTTGCTCAGCCTGTAAACGACATCAGCTGCATCGTGACCAACACTGGGCTTGTCAAACAGTTAGAATCATGCTAACTGCCTGAATCATTGCAGGCATCTCATTCCAAGGCCTTTTGGAGTCAACAAAATATGCGCTTGACTAAGAAAGTCATGTAGGGCTGATGTCAAGAGGAAGGGCTCCCATGCAGATAGATGTCACTCAGGTAATTAATCTCGTACACGTGATCTGGTCTGTTAACAACAGTGAAAGCAGCTTCCTGAAACATTTGAAAACCATGTTTCTACAGTTGAAACCATGCCCTGCTATGAGTTCATCGATGCTTCTCTAGCATAGGTCTTGGTCTCCTTCAAGACTGGTGAAAGACTGAAATCACAGTCATACCAACAAAAATAGATGTGTATATTTCTGTTAATTTAATACTCTGTCCCATCCACTGGAAAATATTTATATTAAAGAATGGGTCTCTTAACTCTGCTAGAGGAAATATACACATCTATTTTTGTTAATTTAATACTCTGTCCCATCCACTGGAAAATATTTATATTAAAGAATGGGTCTCTTAACTCTGCTAGGGTGAAGAAGAAGTTGTCTCCCCCCTCTAACAGGGGGGAAGACAGTTGTGTAGCTAAAGACTTAGAATATTCATTCTTAAGAGCAGCACCAGGACCATTCCAAAGACCTGAAGCTGCAAGTTATTAAATTGCCCTCCAAAAATTCCCAAGGCTGTCTTGTGGACTGAAAAACCAGAAATAGTGGAAGTGATAAGCAAAAAAAAATTCTACTGTTACATCCCCATGTTCACTGGAGAGCCTTCTGAGGATATCTATCCCTACGTCAATGTCAGGAAGAGCAACAGAATTGCAAAATGTAAGTGTTGTCTCAAGCCAGTGATCTGAATTCATCATTGAAGAAGATGCTGGAATCTTCTGTAAATATAGTATCAAGGTTAGCAGATATGACTTCTTTGGGAGTTGTTTATTCTTACTGCATTTGTGGCTTTAGTCAGAAGATACAAATTCAATGGCTTTCTTTGAAAGGATGGAGAAGTAGAGGAAATTTTAGAAATGGCTGAACCAGCTCTTTGGGGGCCGAATGTGCCATTTTCACAACCTCGTTGCCTGTGGGTTCTGTTGCCATGATGCACAAAGATTATCTGCACTGAGTGTGGCAAATATTTCAAAAAACAGAACTTCATTCTTAGTGGGTGTGAAAGTGGATTTAAATGTGGTTGTATTCATCCTGAGCAACCATCTGCAGAATAGCTAATCCTACTATCGTTATTGAACCGTGGCTTCATCAGGAGAGGGATTGTTTTTCAGGTAAGTTGTGCTGCCTTATCATAGTGTTGGTGTGAACTGCTGCATTCTGGGACAGAACGGTTAGGAGAACCAGGGCACGTTAAGGTTTTAAAAAATCAGAAGAGATCTTCAGCTTCATTTCTGGCTAAGCCATTCTGACTTGCAAGGAAACTAAATGTTGATCTGTGCGGTGTCAAAAATGAGGAATGTGACAGGTACGTCATAGATGCTGCTTGACATGTAGGAGTAGTATGTTCAAATAGTAAAAAAAAAAACAAAAAAAACAACCAAACAAAACCCAAAAAACCGCTATGAATTGCTTGGGCATATGAATGCTTTAGAAATGCCATCCTAGATTTTGTAAATGAGCCCCAATTCAGGGCGATTCAAGTTTTCATTGAAACATCAGGGTTCTATCTTTCCATAGTTGCAGAAGCTGAAGAAAAATTGAAGGTAGGCAGATGCAATAAGATAGGCACAACTGCATGGCACACCGGGGAATCTGAGAAATGGGGCTGCAAAGTGTTGAAATGGAATCTCCTTATCAGCGCTCTGGGCACGCATACCATAACTCTGTAAAAGTAGCCCTTGCTTGCTGTGGCAGCTTCATGTTGAGGTGTTAAATTTAAGGCCTTTGATTCCTGTCTGGTGGAGTGCATTTGACGTTGCTCTCTATGCCTGCAAGGGTGAAGCACAGCTGTAAACTGTCCATGCTACAGTCTTTCCCCGAACGCTTTACAATGTGTGGGAGTAGATCAACTTTATCTGAACAAGTATGCCTCATCCTTGCCCTGGTTCAGCCGAGCTAGACTTGAAAAATCATTTCAAATTGTGTCATGCTCACCCGGTGGCTACACCTCTCAAGAGAGGAAACATTTGATATTTGGCATAATAAGAGAGAATCTTGTTCTGTTGCACCACGTGCAAGCTTCTTGAACTTTGGTGTATACTTGCTATTCCGGATCACCAGCATACATAATTCTGACCTTTGCATTTCCTATATTGTCCTCTTTCCACAGAGGCTGTTCTGTAGGAAACTGTTCCTCTCCTTTTCCAGCAGTGACCGAGGAGACAGGTCACAAAACAAGATTCTAGAGACCAAATGGTGTTGGTTTCCTTTTCCGCCTCCCAGCTTCTTTTTCCCAAGACCTTTCAGCTGACATCTCTACATTATTTTTTATTTTTGGCATGACTCATCAGAGGCCAAACCAGGAGTGAAAATTTGGTTGAAAAGTGGCCTAGACAGCGGATTTCTAAAGGGATGATTTTGTTTCTTTCAAACCACAGTTAAATTTTTCAAAAGGGTAATCTGTGCAGCACACTCTTCCCAGAGGACAGTAGAGATGGAAGATGGCTGGGGGATTGTTCCTGGCTTTTTTCCAGGAAGTACTTTTCTTCATTTGGGCCGCCTGCTTGAGAGCTGAATAAATCCAGTATGCAGAGACTGAAAATCACGAAGGTAATTTTATTTTACCAATAAACATCATCCTCTGTTCCAGAGAGCTTGCTGCTACTCCCTTTGGCTTCCCAGCAGCGCTGCTGGTACTCGTTTGCTTTTATTCCCATCAGTCAACCTCCAGCCTTTCACCGGCATCTTGCTCTTTTTGTTCTGCCACTCCTGTCACTCCCTCTGCTTGCTCCTTTTAATTTTTGGTGTGACAGCAAGCTGTGACAGTCTCTCTTTCTATTCACAGTCTCTTCAGCGGCCGGAGCGTCGTCGTCTTGTGAAGCGGTTGAGACAAAGGCGTTGCCACAGCTCAGCTTTGGTTCCAGCAGAACTGGAGAAGAGTGCTTCCCTGGTTTTCCCAGCCCACCACCCATCTGCAGGGCCAGCCTCCCCCTCAGCCTGCTCCTCAACCCCGACAACCACATTGTTCCCTTGATGCTGGACCCTCCCAACAGCCAATGCAGCTCCTCCAGCCAGGAAAACAGCTCCAGGGAAGCCTTCACTTACAGCATCCAGCATCAAGGGTAGGGACAGATGGGATTGTCTTTGAGGGAGATTGAAAAAAGTGAACCCCGGGGGAGAAGCCTTTGGGAGGCTGGAGGTGGGACGTGGAAATAGGTGGGACAGTAAATGAGGAGTTAGATGTGGGAGGGAGAATGCCCTTTAAATGGGGTATGAAGAAGGGTATGATGTGTGTAGTAGGACAGGGCACCTGCTGTCTTTTCTAAAAGTGATCCCTTTAATTGGAGTGCTTTCAGAATTGCATCCCTGTCATGTGAAAGTGGGGTTTGGAAGCACAGTGAAAAGGAATCCTTGAGAGAAGGTAGGTGAGCTTTGGAGAGTGGGAAGAGCTGAAGGAAAGGTAATCCCCACTAGTGTGTGTTGCCAAAGAAACCTGTGAAAGCACTTGGCTCCAGGGGGTTCTGTTGGCCTCCTCCTGTGCCTGGTGTTCGGGAGGAAGGGTTGGAGTCCCATCAGGGTTGAAGCGGCCATCAAGGGGAGGATGTGACAGTTGTTTATTGTACAGGTTGCTGTAGCTGTTGACCCTGCTTTAATCTCCAAATTGCCTCTCTCCTTGCTCTCTGCAGTTTGAGTTCACCGGTCTCCTGCAACTGCCCTGAGCAGCTGGAGTTGGCAGGCGACCTAGAGACCCCTTACTCTCCCTACAGCAACCTGGGTGGAATTTACCAGCTGCCCCAATACCCCCAGCTCTCCCAGTTCCACCATCTGCCGGGTCACCTGGCCAGCAACGTGCTCTCCAGTCTCAGCCTGGCTCCTACATCATCCACAGAGTCCCACACAGGTTTCCTCACCTTACCTGGTGACAGCGGAGTCGTAACCTGTGGGGCAGCAGGAGCCACACAAAGCCATCCACGGAGTCCCACACAGGTTTCCTGGCCTTACCTGGTGACAGCGGAGTCATAACCTGTGGGGCAGCAGGAGCCACACAAAGCTACGTACAAAACCACGTGGAGGAGCAGCCCTCCTTACAGCAGCCAAATGGAAACTCGGGTAAAATCCTAAAATATTTTGGCATCCCGCTTCTCGGGAGTACCTAAACACTACCCTGAAACATTCAGTCAAACCACTGCTCAACCTGGTCACTGTGACATAAAGAAGGAATGTGCATATACATGTGCAAATATATATATATATGCTGCCCATGTTGTTGGTTTTTTAATTCCTTGTATGCCTTTTTTTAAAAAGTGCTGAGTGACACCTTAATTTGAATCAAAATTCACTACATAGACTGGATGTTGGAGGGAGTGTTTCCATGTGAGTACGTCAGGTAGTGGAAAGGTTTTGTCTGAAATGGAGAGCTAACTTATCTTTTTTTGGGAGTGTCCTGCTGTGCAAACTAACTTGCCTTCGGTATACATGGGTGGGGGTCAAGGGTGCAAAATGAAAAAGGCACCACAGCAAATGGAATAGTTGGGGACAGCAAGAAAAACAGGCTTCTAACTCAGCTGGGCTTTTGCAGAAGCCACTTTGAAGGAATGTTATGTGTCTTAGGGCAGAAGAAGGGAGTCAGAGGCCAACAGAGTACGGATATGGCTTCTTTCTTCTTCTTCCTCTGACTTGAATTTGTAATACTGCTCAGATTAAAGCACTTTACGGATACGAAATTTGTAATACTGCTCAGATTAAAGCACTTGAGCATAATTTAAAAAAGTAACTAGTTAAAAAGGACATTGTTCGTCTCCTTGTTTTGTGTCAGGGTTTTACATTTTGAAGTTGTTCAAGCCCAAGTACAACCAAAAGATAAACTATTGCAGTTTAGTTCTTTGGACTGCCAGGCTTGTTAAATCATGTTCAGTCTAAAAAATACATCTCGGCTCTGACCACATAAAAGAATAGTTTTCAGGCCACAGATGCTGCTGCTCTTTTTGTACCATTTTTGTGGACCTTGTCAGGGAGAGAAGTCTGACTCTCAGGTTGATGGGTGCAAGAAGGCTCATGTTCACACTTCATGGCTAACATTCTCCAGAATATGTTGGCAGCACCTGTGTTATTGCTGCTCTTTTTGTACAGTTTTTGTGGACCTTGTCAGGGAGAGAAGTCTGACTCTCAGGTTGATGGGTGCAAGAAGGCTCATGTTCACACTTCATGGCTAACATTCTCCAGAATATGTTGGCAGCACCTGTGTTATCATCACTGTTGGCCTGGTTCTCCTCTTAGTTATTATTTTCTGTGGTTTTTCAGTTTGAAGTGCCAGAGTTAATGAGAGGGCTGTGTCCCAGTGCCCCAAATTAATGTTTTTATAGCATGATGCCAGAAGTGTGTGTTGCATGCCGTGGGGCATGTCGTGAGAGCATAAAGGGATGTGTAGAGGTCCAAGGTTTGTTAGGACTGATAAAGTTGGAGGATTGTTGAAGGCACAGAGGCAGAGTTGATAGTCTCTTATTCCGTAATTATGTTCAAGGATCCTATGGCTATTGCAGTGTGGACAACCAGGGCCTGGACTTCCAGAAGTGCAGCAGGGAGGGAACCAATCTGTCCAGAGGAGGGCCATGAAGATGATCAGAGGGATGGAGCACCTCTGCTACGAGGACAGGCTGAGGGAGCTGGGGTTGTTCAGCCTGGAGAAGAGAAGGCTCCGGGGAGACCTTAGAGCAGCCTCCCAATACCTGAAGGGAGCTACAGGAGAGCTGGGGAGGGACTCTTTGTCAGGAAGTGCAGTGACAGGACAAGGGGTAACGGTTTTAAATGGGAAGAGGGGAGATTTAGATTAGATATGAGGAAGAAACTATTTCCTGTGAGGGTGGTGAGGCACTGGAACAGGTTGCCCAGGGAAGTTGTGGCTGCCCCATCCCTGGAGGGGTTCAAGGCCAGGCTGGATGGGGCTTGGAGCAACCTGGTCTGGTGGGAGGTGTCCCTGCCCAGGGCAGGGGGGTTGGACCTCGATGACCTTGAAGGTCCCTTCCAACTCTGACCATTCTATGATTCTACGATAATTCTTACTTCAGCATTTAAGCAAGTCATCAACTCAGCTGAATTGCAGATATTACTTAAAAAAACCACTCCTGCTTCCTGGATTGCAGCTTTAATAAAAAAAAAAAGTGAAGATAAAGCATCCCTCTTATGCTTTGCAGAGCTAACTTGGAAAATTGGAATGGAGGAAAAAAATTGGGAGGGCGTGCATCTCTAGTACCGTTACATGGACTCAGAATTTATGCTGAAGTAACATCATGGTTTTCAGACGATAACAATGCTATGAATTTCTGAAGTTTTTCATCCTAATAATGATGTTCTGCATAAATGCACTGCAGTGTAAACAACAAAGTTAACCTTCCTATGTGTGTGATGTCTGCTCTGTTGCAGTGACCTGAATGGCATAACTGTAATACTGTATTTGCACTGAGCGTGCTCTCTGAAGCACAACATACACATTTTTACATTATGTGGTTTTAATCCTCCTACAACATACGCATTTTTACATTATGTGGTTTTAATCCTCCTTATTTTCATTATTCTGTCTCTTCTTTCCTGCTTTTTCCTCAGCAGGCACCTCTGCCTATCAAGCTGTCCCTGGGAATGATTTCTATATGCCGGGAGCTCCATTCTCAAATCAGTTGCAGTCAGGAATGCCATTTTCTAGCACAGCAGAAGGACAGTACTTCCCAGAGCAGGTTTCCTACGCTCAGCCACCTTGACTGCCCTCCTCTCCATGTTTTCTTCAAGTGCCTCATGGAACAACACTGGGATCCGTGCCACATACTGGAAAACCAAAGAGGAGGACACCACCAGACCAGAGTTTATACCAGTGCCACCAAACAGAGCCAGCAGAGCTGACGTTGCTTGCTGAAAGAGAAGAAGTAGAGAGTAGCAGCAAGCAAGGAGAGACTATCGTTGGTAACTGAAAGGCCAGCTGTTTCTTTTTTGAAGAAGGTGTGGAGATAAGGAAAGAGTTCCAAGACAGCAGTAGCTCTGAATGCAGGATCAAAACTGGCATGAATGGGAATGGAATTTTTTATATTTTTTTTTCTGGGTTGCTGTTCAAGACAGGTTCAATTATCCTGTATCTAGTTCTTAGATCCATCTATTTTTAGAAATGGGGACTTAGAGGTCACTAAAATAGATGGCAAAGTTCTGTCCTCTGTCAGACATCATCTGTTGTGAGCTGAATGGCTACACAGGACTGATTATTTCTAAGATTTCCAGAGGCATGTACACCTCTCTTCAAGGCAGCAAGTTCTTGAGCAAGAAAGGAGGAAGGGGAAGGTCAAGCTTTCTGTTTGGATTTCTGTTTCCAGTCTTATATTTTGGAAACAAAATTATCTTACTCTAGATTTGTTGAAAGGTGTCATATGTCTTAAATATTATTTGGGGGTGTGTGTGTTTGATTTTGAGAGATAAGACATTTGAAAAAATTCAAGTTGTTCTGCGTCATGAAAGATAACGTTTTCACATGAAATCCAGTTTTTCTTCAGATATTAAAGAAGAAACAAATGACTTGTGCTGCACTCTGCGAGGAAAAAAAAACAAAGGAAGAGGAAACATTACCATTTTAAACTCTGCAAAATAAGAAGAGACAGAAAGAGAGATGAGAATAGTACTATTTGAATCAGAAGCACTTTTTTATTTCATTTTTTGGGTTGTATTTTTTTTTTTCTGCCATGATTATTTTCTGCTGAGGAAAGAAGCAGGGTAATTTCAAGCAAAATAAGAAGAGACAGAAAGAGATGAGAATAGTACTATTTGCAACAGAAGCACTTTTTTATTTCATTTTTTGGGTTGTATTTTTTTTTTTCTGCCATGATTATTTTCTGCTGAGGAAAGAAGCAGGGTAATTTCAATCAATAAAAGCTTCTGGTCTCTGTTTTTTGCAAATCTCCTGACTTTATTCTTCTTATATGAATTCCAATCTTGAGGATCTCACAGACAGGAAAGAGATGATACAGACACAGGAGTCCCAGAGGTGCGTGGAAGTTCCAGATCATGCAAGACTCAGAAGGTATGCCTTTTATCCTGAAATACATGGGAAAAGAGCCCAGGGAGATTCAGATATACACAAAACAGGAGGAGGAGCCCTAGCAGCTACACTAAAGTTTAGGGACTCCAGATAGTGTAAGAAGTGTCAGGGGAAGTCCGCCGTTGGTTTGGTGTTTGCTAGCCTTGAATTACCTTTTTGTTCTTTTAAAAAAAAAAAATCAATATAAAACTATAACAACAAATGCCAGCAAAACTGTAACTGTACATAGCAGCAGTGTAACCAGATCTCTGTCAGATATTAATTGGTTTAGTGTCCTGTTTGCATTGCATCACAGAATTGTCGTGGTTGGAAGGGACCTCTGAGAGACAGAGTCCAACCACACACACAAAAAAACCCCAAAAAAACCCAGCACAGAGTCCAACCACACACACAAAAAAAGCCCCAAAAAACCCAAACCAAAACTGAAAAAAAAAAACCCAAACAAAAAACCCCAACCCCCCAAGCAGACAAAACCCAACAATCCCGGGCATCAGAGCATACCCTGAAGTGCCACGTCTACACGTGAAAAAAACAAACAAAAAACCCCAAGCCCCCAAGCAGACACAACCCAACAATCTCGGGCATCAGAGCATGCCCTGAAGTGCCACATCTACACGTTTCTTAAATCCCTCCAGGGATGGTGACTCCACCACCTCCCTGGGCAGGCTGTTCCAGTGCCTGACCACCCTCTCAGGAAAGTCATTCTTCCTGAAATCTAAACCTCCCCTGCCCCAACTTCAGGCCATTTCCTCTGCCCCTGCCATTATTCCCTTGGGAGAAGAGGCCAACCCCCACCTCTCTACACCCTCCTTTCAGGGAGCTGTCGGTGGGTTTGAATGCCTGAGGACTGTATTGTTCAAAATTTTTTTACAAAGTAGTCAATAACTTAAATATTTGGTGGGTACTGCTTTCGTTGAGGTACTTGGTCATCATCTCCGGGACTGACCCAACGGTCTATTGCTGAGGTGGCTCAGTTATTTCAAAAGAGGGTTAATCTCTCTGTCTTTTACAGTTAACAGGAACCGTGGACGGTTTAGACACGTATGCCTTGCAGTTATGTCTGCATCCTGTTAGGATGTGTTGCAGTTTAATCTGTCAGGATGTTTCATAACCGGGTCTTTTCTCTTGAATTCCTCAAAGCTTACTGTGGGAATCCCAGGCTGCAGCCCTAGCAGGAGCAGCTGAGTGGAGCAGACCATCTTGGCTTGATAGTCTTTGTGGCAGCAAAGGGCACAGACTCTGCCAAGTGGTGAAACAAAGACCTTTCATATTTCATTTTTTCAGCATATATAGTTTCTATCTTCTGATCACGTGCCGTGCTCTCTACACAGATAGGTTGTGGGTGAATGTCCACATGCCTTTGTGAGCAATACAATTTGCTACACACAAGGGTTCATGCGCCCAGGTTACCCAATCATTACTGTCTCCTTTTTCTACCTTATTATCTGTTTTCTACCTCGCTATCTGTTTTTGCACTGCCTTGCTAGATTTCACACCACACAAATAACACCATAGAAAGACATTGTTTTACTGTTCCCACAGCTTCCTTCCCACCAGTGTGAGCACACCTGCCCAGCTCTCGCTCAGCAGCGTGTCTCCAACTTCCTTATTCTCCACAAGTCTCAGCCTCTGCTTTACCTGGGACTGTCAGCCTGGGAAACAGATAAAAAATTATAGAATCATAGAATGGTTTGGGTTGGAAGGGACCTTAAAGATCATCTGCTTCTAAGCCCCTTCCATGGGCAGGGACATCCTCCCACCAGACCAGGTTGCTCAAAGCCTCATCCAGCCTGGTCTTCAACACTTCCAGGGATGGGGCAGCCACAGCTTCTCTGGGCAACTTGTTCCAGTGTCTCACCACCCTCACAGAATTTCTTCCTGAGATCTAATCTAAATCTCCCCTCTTTCCATTTAAACCCATTACCCCTTGTCCTGTCACTGCACTTCCTGACAAAGAGTCCCTCCCCAGCTCTCCTGTAGCTCCCTTCAGGTATTGGAAGGGGCTCTAAGGTCTCCCTGGAGCCTTCTCTTCTCCAGGCTGAACAACCCCAGCTCTCTCAGCCTGTCTTCATAGCAGAGGTGCTCCATCCCTCTGATCATCTTCGTGGCCCTCCGTTGGACCCGTTCCAACAGGTCTCTGCAAATCAGTTGCCAGCTGCAGTAGCAGAGGACCTAAGTGAAGATCGTTTACTCCGGTACCTACATGGCTGAACTGTGGTTCCCAAATGAGCTTTAGTCACCGGAATGTGTCGGGTACGTAACAGGAGAGGCTGAAACGTATGTCAGGCTCTGGCCATGTCCTCCTGAGGAAGGGCTGTTGTGTTAGAGGAAGCTGGAGGTGCAGTTCCTTGTGGTACTTTCTGTGTTTAACCCTGAGTCTTTCCACTGTCTTTTGGACTCAGGCAAAGCTGGAATAATTTTAATATTTTATAGTGGTCTGGGTCTGCCCTTCTTGTACCTGGTGAAATTAAGCATTTTCAGGTCTTTTATCTTTCAACTTCACAGTCTGTTCACGAAGAGGGTCTGGCAGGAGTTGAGCACTGCTGCTCCTCTCCTTTTTCTTTCTCCTGTGTCTTGTAAAACACTGTTTTGTGTCTGAAGACCTCTGGAGACTAAGCAGTACAGCCCGGGACAGATTTATGTCACGAATCCATGGATTTGTACAGGGATTCTGGAATGTTGATTTCCTAGAGCAATGGTTTATTGCTGCCTGCAAGAGGCTGAGAACTGGCGGGGAATGCGCATCGGTTCACACTCGTTTCACTCAGCCACAGCTCAACAGCCTTAAACCAATATTTCCCAGAGGTGTGAATAGGAGTTTTCATTGCAATTACGAGTGCGCTCTGAAAACTGTTAGCGGCGGCGACGGCACAATTCTTCACGGCCAGGGCTGGAGAGGAATCTTGCCTGGATCCAAAAACAACCCTCCCAGCAGATAAAAAGGACAAAACCAACAGCAGCGTGCCAGCTTGTCCGCCCCTACCTTCCCTTTCTCTTACAGAAAAGAAAAAAGGAAAAAAAAAAAAAAGAAGAATGTAGAGTGTTTTGTGAGAAACATTGGAGAGAAATACGGCTTTTGGATGTTCTTTGATGGCACAGTCGTGCAGCCAGCTCGCATATTCTGCCCATAAAAATGTCATCTGGACATTCAGGATCACAAGGCGTTACGTGACGCCGTCTCAAAAATTTGGGTGATTGAATGAGGGCAGTGGAATTTTTGAAAGGGAAAAAATCTTTTACATTCAAGCTTTTGGATAACGTGTAGGCTTCTTTGGGAATGACTTGATTTGGGAATGACTTGATTTATTTCCATGCTTCGACCTTAATTTTGCCAGGTTCAGTTGGGCTTGAAGTTTTGAATTGAGATCTCCTTCAGGTCACTGTTAACAGCTGGAGGAAAGGAGAGTACATGGATGGTCAAATTCATCCCTTCTGTGATTCCAGTGACTTGGCTGTAGTTAAACTAAGGTTAATCTACTCCACAGGTACACAGATGTGGGGATTTTTTTGCCGGGTGCTACCACTGGCAGAAGCAGCACCAGCCCTTGACCAGGAGCCAGGCCACCCCCCAAGGTGAAGAGTCTTAGATAATTCTGTGGGCCTGTCTAATACACGTGCAACACACACTACACCAGCATCTTGGAATCTCCTCCCTCCTTAGTCTCATTGTGCTATTTTCCCTGCTGCAACCTACTTGTAGTAAAATTAGAATCATAGAATTGTCCAGGTTGAGAGAAACCTTTAAGGTCATCAAGTCCAGCCATTAACCTAACACTGCCACTAAACAATGTCCCTCAGCACTACACCTACTTGTCTTTTAAATACCTCCAGGAATGGTGACTCAACCACTCCCCTGGGCAGCCTGTTCCAATGCTTGAGGACCCTTTCAGTGAAGAAATTTTTTCCTAATATCCATCCTAAACCTCCTCTTGTGCGGCTTGAGGCCTTTTCCTCTCACTCCTCCTCCCACTTGTTATTTGGGAGAAGAGACCGACCCCTCTTGTGCAGCTTGAGGCCATTTCCTCTCATCTCATCACTTGTTATTTGGGAGAAGAGACCGACCCCCGCCCCGGCTACACCCTCCTTTTAGGTAGTTGTAGAGAGCAATAAGGTCTTCCCTCAGCCTCTTTTTCAACAAGCTAAAGAACTCCAGTTCCTTCAACCACTCCTTATAAGACTTGTTCTCCAGACCCCCCAGCAGCTTCGTTGTCCTTCTCTGGACTTGCTCCAGCACGAACTCCAGTTCCTTCAACCACTCCTTATAAGACTTGTTCTCCAGACCCCCCAGCAGCTTCGTTGTCCTTCTCTGGACTTGCTCCAGCACTTCAAGATCTTGCTTGTAGTGAGGAGCTCAAAACTGAGAAAAGAGAAATCTTTTCTTACAGACTTCTTAGTTTCGTGAAGTGGGATACATTAGAAAGTATCAACATTTATTCAGTTTAGCAGCTGAAATTCCCAAGGTATTTTTTGCATTGCTCGTTATAAAGAAGGCTACAAATAGCATGAGAAAATAATCTACTGCTGAATAGTAAATATTGATTTTTCTTCATGTT